GGGCTGACTCAAGCAACTTGTGTCCTACGGTCCTGTCCAAAACTGGAAATCTTCCCGGTGGAAGTTCGGCAACCGAATCAACATTGTTACATGCTGAAATCCAATTGAATACATCGGACTCGTCTTTCTTGGACAATTTACAAATGGCTGAGTAGACACTATTTCGATACCCCCTTGCTTCGGCAGCATTCTTTGGGATTGGTGGGAACTTTATGCCATCATATCCCTTCACTCTCATGGCTTTCTTTTCTTTCGCGTACATGTCAACCTCACTTTCGGACGACGATGTTGACGACTTGGATGACCTACTAGGTTTTGGGGATCCATCACTTGACCCTCCTGGACTACCACCCTTTTTCGAACTCTTTGACGAAGACGATCCGGATGATTTGTTTGACCGGGATCCTTCAGTAGGTGCTTTTGGGGTTTTGTTTTCTAATCCATCTATCAACAACTTCATCTGAGAAATGACTGAATCAACATGAGGCTTTTGGGACTTACTTGACTTCTTTGAACCCTTGTGGTCAACAACCTCTTTCCCTGCCCTTGGAGGGGAGCCAAGTGGCTGCACTCCTCCTTGCACTGGGCTCGGCTCCTGAGCATACAAGGACAAATCAAGCATCGGCTCAACCCTTTGACCGGTGTCTCTTAGGCTGGCATGACGACCGACTGGTGTGCTAATTTGGAACTCCGTACCATTATCGGCTCCTATTGGTGATCTCATGGCTTCTGACTGCATTTGGGCAATCACAGTATTTTGACCATCGATTCGCTTGGTAAACATTTCAATCAACTGGGCTTGTTCATTCATTTTCTTAGTCATTGATTGATTCATATGGATTAACTCACTAAGCCTACCCTCCAAGTTTGAAATGTGGGATTGAGCTTCTCTTTGAATCTTAAGGAATTCTTCCCTAGCCTGTGCCTTTACAGTCTCAATCTCTTGCTGGGCAAGTCGAACAACCTGAGATGTTTCACCCCTGGCTTCTTGGAGCTCCTGTTGAGTTTGAACTACTCTTGACTGGGACTCCTCAACTACCCTTGAAGCTTCTGAATGGACATGCTCGGCAAATGCTAAAGCTTCATTCCTAGCAATCCCCCTCTCAGCATCAACATATTGCATAGCCTCTGCTCTCAAACCCTCACGAGCTTGTTGGATGGCTTGATTGGCTTGTGCAATTATATATGGATCCATGTTCACATGCAACTCATTTTTGACATTTGTCTGAGAAACAAATGACGGACCCGGACCGCTGGCTGCTGGAGGACCCTGGAATGGGTTTTGCGGCAAACCTGGTGACCCTTGATTTGAATCTTCCCTCAAGAAATTTGACAAGGTATCAGGACTGACACTCGGTTGGACAATCCTGGTTTCTGGACTTGCCTTTGAAGGAACTGCCCTAGTTTCAGGTGATGATCTTGATTGCGAATCTGACACTGAGGGTGTTTGGTTCTGTGGTGCAACTTGCATAGCATTAATTCCATGCACTGATCTTGATCTATCGGTTTCCGATGAGTCAAAACCATCATTACTCATTGCTGGTTCAAAAGCAGACATTGCTACTATTGATTGGGGTAAAGGATGCTACGACCTCACGGTAAGGGGTACTCCTTTTACCTTGGCAACCACTCCTGAATCAATGGCAATGTATCGGCCAAGAACTTTGCTTGTGGGATCGACCGACCAACGGAGGGCTTTCTACCCAACTTGATATGTGCCAAAGAGATTTGAGGAGTACAATCGTAGAACTCTGTGATAACCCCACAGGTGTCGTCCACGAAAAATATCTGAGACTCACAGAGCCCAGTTTGATCCAACAGGTCCTGAACTGCTGAACACTTGCCCTTTTCCCCCACACGTTCGGTACGTGTGATTAAAAGAAAGCTCACAAATGTACTGATACCTGCTGAATTGTTTACGTATCCAAGAACCTCCTGCAACCTGCGATCGGTGTCAATGTATGACAAGATCACTATGAAGAAAGCTCGATTGGCACGGTCTGCTGCTTCTATGCAGTTTGCTAAGACACGGATGTTATCTGTCGGCACTCGACCCAGATTGAATGTTGTACCTTGCGGTGATCGGTCAACACACTGATGCCAGTCCAAAAGTAACACACGTGCTTGAGATAAAGGTTTGTCACCAAGTTGAAACTGAACCACCTTCCGACTATTAGTCTGTCCGGCGTGAAGTTTATAAATCAACTGTGATTGACCAAACCTAGGCCTGTATTCCAAGATCCTCTGCTCCGGAGCGTCTGTTGCAACCCGAGCACTTGATGAAGATGCTGAAAATTTGGCTTTTGCCTTCGCCCTCGTCGATGATTCCTCTTCCGTTGACCGCTCTGCTGGAACTGAAGTTACCGGTGTAACGTTGTCCGAAGAAGTCAAATAAGGATTAACAAACGAAGAAGACGCTGTAGATGGCGCAGAAGGTGCCGCTTTCTGTGGCGGACCCGGCGGTGACTTCGGCCTCGGAGGTGCGTGCAGCTCAATCTGATCACGTCTTACCAAAGCACCAGCCTCCTGACAATAAGATTCGTCCAAAACAAACGGGTAAGAATTTGACAGCTTACCCTCGGCGATTCCCTTTTCAAGGAAAAATGCCTTTTGACCGAATCCCCGTCTGCCCCCTCTGCCGATTGTAATTGATGCCCACAGACCCTCAGAAAACTGGTCTGAAATGTCCTTCCTTGGAGGAATTGTAAAATAAAAAGAGCCTTGCGGCTGATAACCACAAAAGTGGCAGAAAAAGTGATGTCAAATGGCAAGACCCGCAAAACGCACGATGGGCGCCAAACACTTTTCTTGAGCCAAACAGTTCGTCAGTCAAGATATTTTACCCTGACCCACGGCTGGAGAATGACATGTTAAGTTCATGTCATTCGTTGGCAAACTGAATTCCTCGAAGTACAGTTGAGTAACTTCATTGGTAGAAACATCAGTTCGATTTTGTCACATAGGCATGCGTGAATGCTTTGCTAAGGGTGCGTATGTGCAACCCCTTTTTCGCGTTACTAAGGGGTGCATATATGCAACTCCCTTTCCACATCAAGTAGCACAAGTCTCAAATGGTGGTTTTGCTCGGAATTCTTCTTCTTAGTATATATATATATGTATATGTACATGTATATATGTATATATATATATATACATATACATTCCCAAATACATAAACGGTAGGCGGCTTAATGACCCACTAGTCATCCACCTTCCCTCACCGGGTCCGAGATGCTTCTCATCTGCCTGGCTCTTTGGGGGGTGACAGTACTTATGATAGGCGACTGGTCAAAGGCCGCAAATATGGAATATTATGGAGGACATGACTGTTTTTTTCTGGGAAAAAACTAATCCAACTTCCGTACTCTTCTTTTGTACCAAAAAAAAAGGCGGCCAATCCCTGAATCATCATTCCCCCCCAGACTGAGTCATCTTCCAGCAGAGTTTCTTTGGGATGTCGTGGCTGGGGGTGCGCAAGGGGAGCGGCTTTTTTTCGACCTGCAGACGTTCTTTCACGAAACCATGGCTCCAAGAAATGGGCAGAATGGGGTGCCTTTCACCCTGGCAACGACCTGCCCCATGCCACACCAGCACCCCCCACTAACCAAGTCCCAAGGTGACAACTCGGTTTTCTGTGGTCCCACCAGATTTCATGGTTGATGATGATTTTCCCCGTGAAAATGTGTAAAAAAGGATGAAGGGGTACCATCATTTCGGGACAACTCCTCTTGACATCTGAGATGCTGGTGCGAAACACTGCTGGCATGTGGCTGGCAAAACGCGTTTGATCCTTCATAAAAGTAAAAGGTGAAAGAAATCAGTGGGAAAATCCCTGGGCGGTGGCCAAGTGCTGACATAGAACAACGACGATGACATAGAATAACAATAGATGTATCACACTGGATGAATTGCTCCACTAACTTTGATAGTTAGTCCAATTCCCATCATTCCAGTGACACGACAGTGAGGTGGTCAGCTTGTTTGTATCCAGCTATATTGAGGATTCACATGTAGTTGATGATAAATTACCATTATATTATAATCCATTATATTATGCTTAATTACTACAATACCATTATCATTATATATATATATATCATATTATATTATATATATATATCATATTGTACATATAATTATATACATCATATCATATATATCATATTATATATATATATATATATCCTCATGATTCCCATGAACATCCGATTCTGTTTTTTAAAACGATCTCCAGATAAAAAGCGGTCGCCCGTTTTGGGATTCCCTCAATGCACGTGCTGGGCATGCTGGGCACGAGTGGGCGTCTCGAGTCAACCAGGTCTTCGACCTGTCCCTGTCTGAGGCCCCGTGGTGTAACCGTTGTGGAAACCATCTGGGGGTGCTGCGTGGTGCCTGTTTTTTTGAGATCTAAGAGCTAAGTTGGTAAACATAACTCCAACAACTTAGGCTTTCTGGCGGATAGATCTATATATACAGATATCTACAGATTATATCAGATTAAATCTGGCAACGCAAATCACTGGGAGGCACCACCTTGCAGATTTCAAAAGCAAGCAGCAAAAACAAAGTTTTCGGAATATAAAGGACCCCCTGCATTCAGTGGTCTCGCAGGTGGATGATTTCAGATCTCGGATGATATCAGGAGATTTCATGAGAGTCCGTGCGGAAATGCATCGAGAGTTGAAACCACCCACCAGCCTTAAGATAACGACGTGCCACCAAGCACACCAATTTGGTGATGCCAAAATGCCCACCAGATTTTGGGAGCTGGTGATAGCCTGTTTTCAAGGCATCCTTGACATATCCAGCCCGTTGAAAAGCTGAATTTTCAGATCTGTGCCTGTTCAAGTTCTATACGCGGAAGGACGCTATTCGTGGGCACAAGTCGCACCCTTCACTAGTTACTTGAGCCGAGTCCTTCCCATGCAGCCATCAAAGTCGGGCCTTCCCGCGGACGGAGTTTTGTACCCGCCCAGGGACGTTCCCAGCGACCTTTTTTGTCAAACGCTCCGGTAAAGGTGCACGTTCCACGCGATCAGCAAGGCCATAAAGATACAAACCCTCGGCTCAGCTGGGGTGGGGTTGGATATGGATCCTTGAGCACTGCTGGTCTTTCTGAATATTTGAAGTATCCACGCGGACTCTAAAAGGCTCGTTCCAAAACAAAGTGGGCACTGCCAGGTGCTGTCAGTCAAAAAAAGATACGAACACAGTTCGCAGCAGTTCATGCATAAATCATCATAAATCCGTTGGCGGCTTCGCGCCTAATGTGGCTAACCAATGCTAACCATGGTAAAGCCATGAATAAACCTCCAATTCAGGATCGTTCATACCACCGTATGCTGCCCATTTCTAGCGAGTCATTGGAATGGTTTATGATTTGAGGGTTTACGGCATGATTGAAACAATTCAAAGCCAATCCCCAGTTGAAAAACTCTTCAAGTACTGCTCTCCATCCAGTCGACCCAAAATGTTCGAAGATCAAAAAATCATGGAGGTTTCCAAAAATTGGTTTTAAAAATCATCCACTTTCATGGGATTTTCCATTGTGAACAATCCAGCTGTTGGGCGGCCCCCATGTGCCGAAAAATCCAAGAGGCGCGATGACCCAAGGCAGACTGGCTGCAAAGCCCAGATGCCAAATTCGTGCGTTCCTTAAGGCCGTTTTCGCTGGGTCGGCAGCACCCGGACGTCATCTGACCCGGCATCCATAGCCCCCAACAAAACCATGAAAATATAGTGACATGAGGACAACCTTGCAGTTTTCGTCAGCAATACAAATCAAATGGATAAGGGTAATAAGATGTAATAAGGGTATTTTTTGGTGTGGATTCATGAAAACAAAAATCATGTTCATGGTCCTCCTTTGTAAATTGGAGCCCAGCGACGTGGAATTCAGCAAACCGGCAGCAAAGCCCTGTTGGGCGCTTGTTGGGCTGCATCGACCCATGTATCCCAGGTCCGCAAGAATCTGAATCAATTCAGTTGGATGGCAGTAGTTGTATTTTCTATGTAATAGTACGTAATTATATGCTACAAGTTTCCTATCAGTTGGATGGATTCTATTTTTCAAAATTGTTGAACACCAGCTTGCAAATATTGGTAACATGTAAAGACCAGTCAGAACTCAGAACAACCATGAATTCATGAGGCTATTAGAACAGAAAGGCTTGCTGCCAGCGCCCAAACTACAAATTGCTGGAACATACCCATTAATTATTTTTTGGTGTAAAGAACGGTTGTTTCGCGCTGTCAACAAACCTATTTATCCTATTTTAAGTGGTCTTAGGCTATTAGGTTGTAAGTCTCTTGCCCTGTGAAGAAGGCACCCTTCCATAAAAATAGCTGTTTGAAAAAAAAACACAATGTTTAGGGGGACTTCTTGGATCTAGCCATGTTAAAAAACCAGTCTGGAAAACATCGCAGGTCTATACATATATATACATATGCTTTTTTGGTTTGTTTTTTAGCCCAACGTTTTGATCCTTATGATTCATCAAAACCAGATGGATGCAAAGCAAATCTGATTCACTTGGCCTCTAAGGCCTGTGTTTATCAGCCATATATCTCTCACCAGCCATGTCTCTACTTCTCTTATTAAACATAGGTTTATATATGTGTATATATTATGACAAACACGTGCAGTATTTCTTGGGGATGTGCAAGTGAAGCTGTTGCGGATGTACACATGTCCTTTTTGAGGAGTGAAGCCTTTCCGTCAAAGACATGGCGTTACTTTCCAAATAGTGGGCAGCTGACCTTCTTTGAGAGGAGTGTTCCATGTTTTCCTTCAAGAAAATTGTGTTGCTTTCAAAGATAGAGGACGGCTGAACTTCTTTGAGAGGAGTGTTACATCTCTAAAAGACGCACTTCATATTCTGCAACAATATGTTGCTAAGAAAGGCTGTAGCTTCAAGTAAAGTGTGATTCTTTCAAGGCAAACACATCTGTTTGAAGGGATGTTGCCATGCTAAAAATGGAAGAGAGGACGAATGCTTCACTTCAAAATGCAATGCATATTGTGGAGGACTAGTGTTTTTCAAAAAGGAGTTCAACCTTCACAGGGAGACTTCTTCCTGAAAAAAGTTCTGCACTAGTTTCTCCAGCAACCATCAGCTTGTAAATGAAAACTGTTTGCTAGAATGGGATGCCGCGTATTTGTAAGGAAGATTGCACTTCTTTGAAGAATCTCGTTTCTTCAAAGCATTGTTCGGAGCGAGCTGCTGGGCACAATGGCTGAGCTGTGTGGCCCAACCGCCTTTCCACTGTTTTCATGAGAATGTAACTGTCAAAGGTGGCTAAAAAAATAAGCACCATGGCAGGGCACTGATACCAGCTGGAAACAAAATCGGACAGGGACAGTCGTTGGACTTTTGCGAGAGAAAGCACCGAATTGATGGCACAGTAGCCTTACCAGAGAGCTGCCTTCCTGGAATCCTAATAGTCCATCCTGAACTGATGTTGTGCTTTCAAAGATTCCTTACTTTCAAAGGAACGTACTACTGCAACACAGTCACATGGAAACACTACAGTAGTGCATCCCCAGGCTTCATAATACACGTTCGATTGTCATCATTTGTGCCGCACGAAAGGAAAGATATCCACTTTTTTCTTGAGAACTACATGAACTTCTCCACTGCAATCTTGCATGTTCTGTCAAACATATGCTTTTGTACGATTGACAATTGCACATATTGGCTCAACATGGAGGTGTATCTTGCTTTCTCTTCCAAGTCGTGTTTTCTTCTTGTAATTTGCCATATTTTGAACCCAATACCTGCCATTCTTCCGGAGGAGTGCATTTTGCAGGTTTTTTTTGTGTGTTTTTCTCTGGGTCATGCCTCATCTATTGAAACATCGCATCACACTACGACCATAGCCCTGCTACTGGCACTGGCAAGATCCCCAACTTGCGGGCCGCGGCCTCTGTAAAGCCCATGTATGCATAGGCAACCTAGCAGGGACGTCAAGAAACCAGAGAACATGTCAGAAAGTTCAGTATGTCTTTTCTGGTTGATTGTTTCCAAATCTGGGTAACATTCATATTTCACTAAGCTGAATTGTTCGGCCATTTGGGGATGTTGTCCCTTATTACCCTCTGGTAATTTAACATAGCTATTGAAAATGGCCATAGACATAGTGGATTTACCCATTGAAAATGCTGGATCTTTCCATAGTTTTTTTGTTAACGTTTACCAGGCCGGGTAGCTCGTCGCAAATCTTTTTCAGAAATCCCCAGCGACTCTACGGTAGCAATGCTACGATCATCCCGGATGGATTGGTGGCCAAGCTGCGATGATGGCCAGCACTTTGATACAAAGCAACGTCCTGCGCGCGACGCGGTGGCTGCGCGCGCGACGCGGCGCTGCTTGACGTTGCGATTTCTCCGTGGGCTGGAGATGTATTAAGCAAGGTGCGCTAGGTTGGCCCAACATCACTAATGATTAAGCCATTATTAAGCATGATTAAGCCATTATTAAGCCATTATTAAGCCATTATTAAGCATTGATTAATGAAATGAACAATTATCAAACCACTATTAACCATAAATGGGTTCTATGTTGATCATCCCATTGAACCCGAAAGGATCCCAAAGGCACATTTGGCGGCCACAGGTCACCCAGGTCACCACGGCACCACAGTCCATTTTCCAGCTTTCTTTCCAACCGTTTTCTCGGCCAAGATCATGAGTTTGAGCATCACGGGATAGCTCCTTTGGTTTTTATTGTTTGGGGTGTTCGCTGTTGCACGACATTGGCAAACTGTAGTTGTAGAATGTTGTAGATTATAGATGATTCATAATGGGTAATAATGGTTAACAATGCTTAATAATGAGTTAATAATGGTTGATTAACAATGCCTATCAATTGCTAATAATTTAATAACGTGTTAATATGTAATGGTTCATGATGATGGATAGCAATGGTCGATAGTGGTCAATAATGTTGAAACTGGTTAATAATGGTTTAAAATGTTTCATAATTGGTAATACTGGTTCATAATGTTTAATAATTGTCAATAGTTGTTAATTAATACATAAATACAATATGTATATATATATATACAGTGTGTATATATATATATACAATAGTTAATCATGGATATGGCATAAATGATGGAGAATAATGATTAATCATGAGTAATAATGGTTAATCATGGGGAAATGCAGAGATGCATCTCGTTTGGTACTCAAACGCGACCTGCCGGAAAATCCCCTGTTTAGTTTGATGTTTTTCCATGTTTTTCCCATATTAAAACCCCATAGATGTTCCATTGCCATGTTTGACTACCAAAGGGTGGTCGTGTTGAAATTTGGAAAACTTGATTGTATAGTCGCGTCAAGATGTGGCAATAATGAAATTTTGAGTACAATTGGATGATATAGATAATATGAATATGTATATATATATATAACCAACTATCATCCAACGATTAGATACCATTCCATTGCACTCGAAAACGACCCTGTTTGGAAATGGTGAGGCAACGACCCGAAAAAAGTGGTGCCCAGCTTAGCCCAGCTTCGTCGGGTAGATGAGGAAACAACCTGTGGAAGGGCGATGATGTGCCAAGCCCAGATCAATGGGATTGCAACATGCAAACACAAACGTGCATATCTATCTCTATATATACATATACATTACATTACATTCCATTGCACTACAATTACAATTACAATTACAATACATTACATTACATACAGACATACATACTTACATACAGATAGATAGATAGATAGATAGATAGGTAGGTAGGTAGGTACGCATTGTTTATAAAGTCTTATATATATATAACATTGTATAACGGTATATGCAGGTTTACATGCCTATATATAATATCATACCGCAGTACCTTTACATACCCTGGGATACTGGTAGCACAATCTTTTTGTCAGTCATGTGCCAGCATGGGGGACAATCATGAACACCATGGAAAACCGTCAACATCTTTCAAGAACCTTGATACATTACTTTTACTTATGCCCTCTGCCAATTTAGCGCAGCTATGGAAAATCACCCGTTTTAATTGGCAAAATCGTTATAAATAAATATATATATATATACACACAGTATACGTGTATGTATATATATATATATATACACAGTATACGTGTATATATAAATAATCTACACACAGGTCATTTTCCGTGGCTATGTAAAGACCCGAGGGTCACATATTCGGCGCCCCAAATGGATCCCAAACCGGCAGGACCCTGCCTACCAGCCACGCACAGCAGTTGTTTCCCATCTGCACAGGCGGAATCGCGCCGGGACCAAGTTCCTCCACTGCGGCTTCGTTACACTCGATCCCGTCACAACCTCAAACCCATGGCAGGCCCATCCGATGGCGAAGCCCCAGATGACCAAAGCCATGGGAAAACCAAGGAATCCATTGATAATGGGGATGACATGGGATGACCACGTCCGGAAAAGGACTTGGCAAATCTCGCTGACGGAGATTGAACCACCAGCATGAAACAGAGATTTAAGGTGGCTCAACCATACCTAACCAGCTCAGATTGGCGAATCAACCAACAATCAATGGACACTGTGACCGAGTTTTTGCATCACAGGAACCACACAAAAAGTTGGAGCGGGTAGCCGGTGTGACCATGTGTAACCCCCAAACGGTAGTTAGTGTCCCAGTTGGTTTTTTCTAGTAGGATTTTACATCTGTTGCCTGCATGTTTTTCTGCATCCTTTTGGGTTGACATCTGTTGCTATATATTGTTATATATGTTGCTATCATAACGCCAAGCAACCCAAGACGTTTGCCACTGATGAGAATGCAATGGGCAGAAACATCAAGAGGCACAACCTACCGCGAAACAGAACTGCACGAAGACAATGCCAAGACACAGTCATTTTTCTTATTTTTTGTTGGTAAAGATGATACCATCTGGTTATTTAACATAGCCATGGAAAATCACCATTTTTAAGTTCGGGAAACCTCTATTTCTATGGGCCATTTCCCATGGCTATGTTAGTCATAACCAGATGATAAAGGAACCAAATATGAAATATAAACATCTGGCTGGATGTCCCATGGCTTTTGGTCTAAACTCTTCATCCTGACTGATCGGTCGCGGAGAAACAATGACGCAGGGTTTGGGTTCCCGGAAGGAATGACTCTGGACTGTGTACCAATTGTGTTCTGGGAACATGTTTGGAAAGCAACATACCATATGATGAGCAGTCAACAAATTGAACGTTCGCCCTTTTCGGGAATTTATTGTGCCATAAGAAAAACTTTCGCGAAGTCCAGAAGGAAAAAATGCGTTTGCCTTTCGCAACAGCGACCTTGGTCGCGCCTGTAGCGGATGTGGTAAACACTTTCTCCAATGACTTTCTGCTCAACGTACTTAGACAGATCTTTTCCTGAGGGTCTGGTGGAGCGTAAGGAAGAATCTGGTGGAGCGTAAGGAAGAAGACAGCGGCGACAAGTATACATACATATATATATATATAATATATATATGTGTGTGTGATTGTATATGTATGTATTCATTTATCTATGCATTTACTTAATCGTCATAATATACATACGTGTGTATATATATATATGCATACATAATATATATATATACTCATATATATCACCCAACCAGTATAAACAATATCAAATAATTGCATCGAATTACAACCAAACCTCACATGACCACATAGCACATACCAAAGACAAAGTCAGAGACAGCTATGGGGATGATTCCCATGATCCAATTCACCATCATTCCGACAGAAGCCGCGACTTGCTGCAACGAAGCGTCGAACGAAGCTGTTAAAAGCATGCAATGGCTCATCATAGTCCCCTCAGTGCTCCCATGTCCCATGTCCATGTCTTGACCGTAAAATTGACATGTGACTTGGCATTGACCAGTGGGATTTCCAACAAGTCGTGTTTTTTCTGGGGGCTGATCGTCCGTAACAACTATCCGTTTTGGTTCAAAATCTTCCAAACATATCAAATCTCTATGGCCTGCGTGACACCAATCCCAGCTGATCCAAAGGCCCTCCAAACCCCAACTGCCCAACACATCCCAGGCTTTGAAACCGCAAACCGCTGCGCAGCCTCTACAACCCCGTGGCGGCCCATTGATCAGCTTGCCGTGAAAAAAAAAACACAACAACTTTTCACCATGAAAAATCCCATGGGATTTAAATCCCTAGTTCTTGATGATTGGGCCGGTTTGGTATACCATCTATCATCATTTACCTGTTGTTAAAGGGGCAAACAACCCCCCCTATTAATCAACCAACCAATGATTGAGCACCCATTATTTTTATCGATTTCTCAAGATCTCCAGGAGCTTCTTTAATTTAGTGTAGCCATGGCACTGTAGAGCTTTGTTACGAGGCGTTCGACTTGCTCCCGGTCTGACTCCACCGCGCACTTCGTCTCCTTGATCTGAGGCGTTACAAGGTGACCAAGGTGACGGTGACCATCATACTTCTGATATGTCCGGGAAATCATGGGAATCCTATCCCCCTAATGAATACTTCAGGTATGGGTGACAATGCCATATATCAGGGCTTCTGGAATTTCATGTGGAGGGATTATATATGTGTTTGATCCCAACATGACATTGGGAATCCTATGTCTAGAATTATGGGCAATGATAAATCCTGCTTTTAAATGCTCTTATCGGAGGCATGACCATCCCCCAATATGGGTTAATCCAACTTTTGACCGTGTCACATATGTAGTAACCGGCAAAAAAGATGCAGACAAGATTCAAGTTTTGCCACTGAATGTTAGTAAGATACCTTTCTGCATCTTTTTGATGGTTCCTAGTGCCTCCATAATAAATGTTCTTTTTACCAGCAATAAAGGGGAAATGACATCCAGAAGGTGGTTTCTTGATTGAACTCTGATCCAGAACAAGAAAAGAGCGTCCGGTCCCCAACTGGTAAGCTGGCTTCCAAAGTTCATGAGTGCTAACTGGCATTTTGCAACATGTTTGAGTTCGAACCTCTCATTTTCATTCATTTTCCATGGTATTTGCAACATTTGGTGCTCGAACTAGGGTTCACCTAGGGGTGGTTTAATTTGTTTAAGGGTTGGTTTTAGGTCTTTTCAGGATTTATTAGGGTTGGTTTTAGAGTTGGAGCTTAAAGTTTAAAGGTTGCTTGAGGGTTTCTTTAGGGTTGGTTTTTGGTTTTTCAAGGATTGGTTTTAGAGTTAGCTTTATTGAGGGTGTGTTCAAGGGTCGATTTTTGGTGTTTTTCGGGGTGTGTTTCATGGTTGATTTAGGTTTGATCTATTTAGGGTTGGTTTAGGATGTAGGTTTGGGGATTTGTCTAGGTTTGGTCTAAGATCTATTTAGGGATGGTTTTTGATCCATTTCGGTTTGTTTGAAGTTGATTTAGGATTTAAGAAGGTTTGGTTTCAGATCTATTTTTGGTTTCGAATTAGGGTTGGTCTTAGGGTTTATTTAGGCATGGTTCAAGATCTATTTAGGGTTGGTTTAGGATCTATTTAGGGTTGGTCTTAAGAGTCGTAAGGTTTATTTAAACTTTGTTTAAGGTCAGGTTAGGGTTGGTTTAGGGTTGGTTTGGGATCTGTTTAGGGTTGGTTTAAGATTTGTTTAGGATCTATTCAGAGTTGGGGCAAGGTTTGTTTTAGGGTTGGTTTAAGGTGAATTTAGGCTCGGCTTAGCATCTATTTGGGTTTGGTTTAGCACCTATTTATCCTTGGTTTAGCGTTGATTTAGGGTTAGTTTCAGATCTATGTAGGGTGTGTTTAGGGTTTACTTAGAATTGCTTTAGTTTTTTGAGGGTTGGTTTGGGGGTTATTTGGGGTTGATTTAGGGCTGGTTTAGGGTTTATTTATATTATGTTTCTTAGGGCTTATTTATGAGGAAAAAAAACATGAAAACGCAGAGGAGCAGAAAAGCGGAGAATCAGGGAAAAGCAGGAAGGCAAAGAAGCAGAGTAGAGAAGCTGAGAATCAGAAATAAAAACAAAAAGAAACGGAAAAAACAAACCTTAAAAAACATAGCCCTCCATACAATGTGGCAAACCTATTGCTATAAACCTACCACTTCGATGGTTTTTACAACCCATTTATGGATATTTAGGTTGATATTGTGGATAGTTGATCATCGGGCCACACGACATTCATCAACGAGGGATTTTTTTCGGGATATTTCCAAGACAAAGTTATGACCAACTGGACATAACCGGGGCAGCAACAGCTAAGGCCCTGGCGTGGATATCGAAGTGCCGCAAAGCTTTCCGGGTAGTACTGAGCAGCGCACTACGGATGGGCCCCCATTGGGATCATGACACCACGACAGGCGGGGCGGTCAGGATGATTCGTGGTTAGCGTCGTCGATTTGTTTTGCCACCTGATGAGTTATGCGTTTTCAAATGGTTTTGCACATCATCCATGTTCATCCATGTTCATCCATGTTCACGCATTGATCTACACATATCTACACCATCTTTATATATAGAAAGAGATATAGAAAGAGAGAGAGAGAGAGCGAGGTGTGGCATTTGGGACACTGTAGGCTGGACCGTCATCCTAGGTCGTGCTTCTGCAATGACTCTCTGGGTAGAAAGCACGGCAATGGAAAGTCCCTCAGAGACTCAATCCCCTCACATGTAGCGATTTGTATGCTTGTTAAATATTCAGCTTTCTTCTTCTATTTTTATTCTTGAAGCCCATGTAACTTTTATTGAAGTCGGCCTTGTCGCAGAGTATCTGCAATTCTTATTCATTTCAAGGTCACAAGTCTGCCCCAGGTTGGC